AAAACATATATATATATATATATGTTTTTTTAATTTCTCAAAAATCAACTCTGTCAATTTCTTTGAAAACAAAATAAAGTGATATTCGGATCTTGAGGATATCCCCCTGTGTATTCAATCTTACGCGAAAAAGTTATGGCTACCTTCGACGATCAGATGAAATCCTTAATAAAATATATTACAGAAAGAACTTGTTTCGCAGGATATATATATTTATACATACGTACCCATCACGCGCAGAAACTGCGTATATCATGTACGAAAGCGATGTAATCACAGTCGCCGAGTTTCGTTCACCTTTTTGCTTTGGTATTTACAAGGATAATATGTGTATTTCCGGCACTATCCACTATCAATTCAAGCACGCATATGTGTGCAAATGTCGTACGACAAATGGTTTATACCTCGATCATTTTTACACATACCTTCCGTGATTGTAGATTGAGCTGCGGATACATCAGTGTTGTTAATAGTTACACGTTTATCGTCATTATATATCGTTAGCTTTAACATGAACACATACTCGACTTATCTAGATACCCCTCAAAATTGCCCTTCTTGTTGACACTTGAAAAATATCGTCGATAAACACGAAGCTCTGGAAGATACTTTTTTTTCTTGGAGAATTCGTTTTAGCGGCAGACATGGAGAATACGACGAGAGGAAGGGTACAATTGTCCGGATTCCCTCGCGGACAAAACTCTAGCAATGAAACATACACTTGCGGTATCGCTGTTTCTTTCTTAAGAGTGTAAGTACTCTTAATAGTAAAGAAACCTTTCTTGCATCTCTACATTTGATCTCACTGAAAATATACAGTGTCCTTCTTTATCTTATTTCAACTAACGTTTATGGAAATGCATACAATTCGCTACTGTTAAGCTAGATTTTACATTACAACGTCATTCTCTCTCTTATTTTTTCACTCTCATGCTACGCATATAAACTTCTTTTTCATTCATCGCATACAAGATTACAGTTCTGCGCACGCGCAAAGATCACCTTGTACATTTATGTTACAAATTACGGCAAAATTCTTAATAATTTATCGCTTTATTGGCTCATTCTTTCCTCTTTGCGCAAAAGAAACACAGTTTCGCTTTGCATATGACATTCATTAGCGGATGTAGAAGACATGTCAAAAAATCACCTTAATGCAAATCGCAAATCACAAGTATTAAATCGTCTTATTCGGATGGTCTTTGACCCCAACGTGATTTTGTCCTCGGTAATCTAGTGGGCGACGGCAAGTTATCGCTGTCATTCAATTTCCGCTTGACATTTAGCACGATACCGCTTTTAGATGAAACTTTTGAGTGGGATGCGCCTGCCATTTTAGAGACGTCTATTGTCGGCGGAGTCGACGGGAAAGTGGGAAAATCTTCATCTTCAAGACCGGGCGGCTTTGGTTGTTCGGGGGTAAAACTCTTCTTGAAAGCATCTGAAGAACTTGGTTTATACGATTTATTTGCCTCCAATGCAGATTCCGTAGGAAGTGGAAGTGACGAAGAGAGAACCTGCAGCGGTGGCGACATCGGTGCGTCACTTATAGAGCCAATGGGTGGCGGCGTTAAGACGAGTAAAGATGATGATGTCGATAATGATGATGATGATGATGATGATGAGGATGATGACGATGATGACGATGACGATGATGATGATGAAGAGGAAGAAGACGGTGGTGGCGCCGGTACTGCGGATGCCGTCGCTGCCGCGACTGCTGCCAACTCTTCTTCGGCTTTTCGAATCAGATCCAAGTCGCTTAAAGTACTCAATGTGCTTTTGCTCTCCTTGGGGACTTCTAGCGGCGTTTTCTCTGACTGACTAATCCTGGAAGAGGGCGAATATCTCTCCGGGTTCGGATAAAGTGTGGGTAAGAACGACGCGCTAGGCTTAGACGGAAGATAAGGATCCACTTTAGAAGACTCCTGCCGCTTGACATTCGCCAGGATCTCCTGTAAATTTGGCGGTATAGTGATGTCCGAGACTTTATCGAGGATAGGCTGCGCGAACTTGGAGATAGGCGGCGGAGGCGTGAAGGACCGCACATTTGATGGACTGTAAGCTTCCTCACAATCGTCAGTGGGCGGATCTAATCCCAAACCCTGAAATAATCGCAGATAAAGAATAAAGATACAGAATAAAAATACAGATGAGATATCAACGATAATAAGATAATATTCACGATTAATCATCAATGACGCGTGCGATTAATGGAAACAAGCGAACGTATCATTTATAAATTTCATCAATCAGAGATTACTCGACAAATAAGAGAGAAATTAACACATAAACGTCCATTACGACTTCAATCGAAAACTTGTCAAAAATCTTTTTTATATTGCAAATTTTCTTTAAAGATGTCGCTCAATAAAATTCATGAAAGAAGATGTAGAGTTATTAGATTTCAGTGAATATATCGAGCAATTGGCTGGTTATTTGAAACGTACGCACGCATGCACACGATGTTCCTTAGGAAATTGCTGAAAGTAATCACAGCTACCATTTTTAAATGCATAACGCAGAATAGGAAAAATAAAATATCTTTTAATATAAGACATTTAGCAGTTTTATTTACATATAAGACGATCAGACGTATGTTTATTATTTAATAAATGTTTGTAAAAATGCCTAGTATTGCCAATCTTAAAAATATATGTATTTTCGAAATTGTTAAATTCTGAATAATATATATTTTGGAAATTAAGAAAACCAAGGGATTGCCAATTTTTGTCAAAATAGATGTTCGTTTTTTTTTAATTTTCGTAATATATATCATTCAGAATTTAGCATTTCGAAAATATATATTTTTAAAATTTGCGATACTTGACTACTTTTATACATTTATTAAATGATAAAAATACTTCTGATCAGTTTTATATGTGAATAAAATTGCTAAATGTCCTCTATTGAAAGATATTTTATTTTTTCTATTTCTTATATGCATTTAAAAATGACAACTGATTAGTTTCAGCAACTTCCCATGGGAACACCCCTGTGTATGTGTGTGCGCGTATCCATGCTTTGGTACAGAACATTGCAGAGTGGCAGATAAGTAACTTGCAATATTATCGTAATAATACAAAAAGTACGTTGCTTTACCGCAATTTGATATAAAGAATACAAAAATTTATAATCCATTTTCATTCTACAATACCTACACTATACAAGTGTTGACTCAATTCTTACACGTTGGCTAAATGGTCAATTTCTTACAATGTTCGATCAGAAAGCATTTTAATGATCTACAACGATAAAATACTCGTTTGATGAAATTTTTTTAGAAATAAGAATCTAGAACAGCTCGGAAGATAGGATCGGAATGTTTGCAGTAGAAATCCATTTTATTTGTGTAAGACAAACAAAAAGACGTAATAATATATGTAACAACAATCGAGATTGCAAAAAATGAGCCTAATGTAGAGATTCTCACCGGCAAAGTGGGAGTTGCTTCGTCGAGAAATGACGAGCTAATGTTCTGTTGTCTCTGTATCTGTTGTCTCTGTTCCTCGATTTGTTGCTTCTGCTCTTCAATCTGCCGATTTAATTCGTCCATCTTTCTTTGTAATTCTGTGGAGTTCTTGCTGGACGAAGACAAGATGCCGGTAGCACTGTCGACAGTAGTCTGCAGATTGGTCATATCGTCGTCCATCTCGCCAGGACTGTACGGCTCGTCTCCGTCATCATCCAACGTGACTTTACTGGGCGATGAGGTCAGGTCGACAATTTTTGACGACAATTCCGGCACAATCTTGCATATCGTCGCGGTGTCTATGACGCCGCGCGACATACCTATGTGCGCTTTGTTCAAAGAATCCAAAGTCATCTGCGTCACTGCCGTCGCCGTCGCTGCTTTCTCCTTCATCGAATCTAACGCAGTCGCTTTATACAACATGGGAGACGAGGACGGTGATGGCGACAAGGTCTTTTCTTTTGGCACGCTGACCAACGGCGGAGTGTAACTTCTGTCGGACGTTTTGGATGTTTTCGAAGGTATTGCTGGCGGCACAGCTGACAATCGTTTCTTCTTGTTGCGAACTATGATGCCAAGAAGCAAATGTGGCCGATGTTCCTCAAATCCAGATCCCGTAAGCGGCATTAGAACCGGTGGTATCGTACTTTGACTTGAGAATGGCATTATATAAAAGTCCTTGATATTTTTAGAAACATTACCCACGACGCCTAAACGGCTTCTACTATTTAAATAGCTATACAGAGTTATATAGGGAATCTTCTCTTCGTCGTTCGCAGCTGTTAATCGGATGACTAGAATCTCCTTCGAACCGCTCCTTTTCATCTTTGAGATATAGTCCCAAACGGTTTCATGGCTAATCCTACCGACAACGTCGACAGTATCTGGTAAATCGTCCATAAGATCTTTAGCGTTGCCACTTACTTCCTGCGCTGTTATAAAGAACTTAGCGACATCAACCATGTTAACAAAACCACGCCAAACCGTTTGCCAATTGCCCTTCGCCGATGTTTCCTTATCCGTCATCTGCTCTTTGTCTCTCTCCGATTCCTCATTAATATCGGGCGTCTTAATCGTGACAGTAGAACTGGGTTCTCTGTCCGATATATCGGAATCATTCCCATCAATCGTATTCGTTGTAGCCTCATCTTCTATGTGCCGCCAGAGGCGATCCTCTATTGGTTTTTCCACAGGTGGTGGCGATATATCTTTCTTCTTCTCTGTTTCCTTTTTACGTTCTTCTTCCCGTTTATCGGCATCCTTGGATTCTCTACTACCGCTACGATTTCTTGTACGATTATCATTACTCTTTTGCCTGTCTTTTTCTCTCTGCCGGTCTCTCTCTCTGCTCTCCTTTCTCGTCTTATCCCGATCTTTGTTTCGATCTCGTTCTTTATCCTTCTCTCTGTCCTTGTCGCGTTTGCTCTCTTTATTCCTGCTCGATTTTCGCTCCTTACTTTTGTCTCGCGTCTTGCTACGATCCCGACTATGGCGATGCCGGCTGCGACTTCTCTCCCGTCGATCTTTGCTTTTGGATTTTGCACTGTCGCGCTCTCTTCCTCTGTCCTTATCTTTCCTCCTTCGTTCATCTGTGTTTTTGGTTTTTTTTGTTTCCATTTGTACCTTTAGTCTATCATCCTTATCCTTATCTTTTTCCAAATCGTCGACCGTGGAGCTTATATTATCGCCGTTATTTAACGCGGAAACGATATCCTGCACTGGTGTTTTAGGATCAACGTGATCGATTCCACCATCATTCTCGATTATCTGTTCACCTTTATGAGTCTTAACGACGATTGACTTAGCCTGAGCCATCAAATCCAATTCATTCTTTTTTATCATTTCCAGTTGATGCTTGGTCTCTTTCTCGCGCCATTCGGCCAATTCCTGACTGGCCATCTCATCTGGACTTAATCGTACCACCGCATCGGGCGTTAATGAGCGATCCGCAATCTTTCTAAATAACGTGAGATTCTTGGTGTCTTTTATATTAAACACGAGACTCCTATACTTTGCTTTGTATTTAGAGCCAGTGTCCTTAAAATACTTGTACATTTCAAGTTCTATGTTGAAAGCCAAATCGGCAATCTCCTCGTCAGTTAGTTTCAGATCTTCAGTTTCCTTTATACGACTGGATAGTAATTCCGTTAGAGTTTTTCGGATATTCACTCGTATGGGTTCCGTTTCTGGCTTTTTTACCGGTGTTAATTTAGTTTGTTGCTTTAATTGGGATGGTGATGGCTTTACTTCTTGCTTCTTAATCGACGTTTGCTTCGGTGAGCCTGCTGTTTGGGTTTTCAATTGCGTCTGTGTGACATTTTTTGATGTCTTTAATATTACATTAGAGCTCTTTCCTGGCGTCGTGGTGATTATCGTTTGTTTCAATTGTGTCGGTTTACTGCCCGATGATACACTTTGTTGTTGCATAGCAGGAATTATTGTAATTTTCTTGTTGGTTGCTAAAACAGTTTGTTTTGAGCCAACCACCTTTGTATAAATCATCTTTGGCATACTTTGCACTTTAACTGGAGATGCTTGCGTAATTTTTGTCTGAAAACAATTTGCATATCTTTCCGTTAATTTCAAACATTTTAAAAACTTCTAAATAATCTGAACATTCTAAATATTTGAAATGTTTTACATATACTTTTGTAAGTAAAAAACTGTTATGAAAAAAAAAATTCAGGACTTATCTGATGATATTCATTAAAAAATATCTAATAAACGTAGTAAAAAAATCAACTCTATTAAAATTAGTTATTTCTAAAGTTAGAAACAATAGTTTTATCAAGTTGATAAAACAAATAATTTGCTTTTATTTATCTATTGCATTTATCTATTGTAACAAAAACAAAAAAGATAAAAATTTATATGCAATGCAAAATAGAATTTTCCGATTTGAAAACTTTCCTGCATAGAAATATCACATGGCTGCATCTCCATTAGCAAGATCACATATGAGGTGTTCCAAAATCTTTGCATTTTCTTTTAAAAACGAATTCTTTAGAACATTGTAAGAAGAAAATTCTTATGTAATGTCGAGGCAATAATAGTTTTTAACAATTAAATATTTAAATCGACCGTGGAATGTTTCAAACAACTAAGATAAGAAAATGTCAACACGATACAAAGCAGATTTTGGTGCTTAATAATATTTTTATATGTTAATCTTATAATTTTCAGTTCACGCAAACTACACGCTACATAATCATCGATCTTTAAAACACAGCTCCAAATTGAATACTATGTAATATTACAATTAAATTGCCAAAGTAATTTAATAATTCGATGTTTTTGAACACCTTTTAATAATTATTTTAATAGTTTTTAAATTATATCACAATTAAATTGCCAAAGTAATTTAATAATTCAATGTTTTCGAACATCTTTTACAGGTTTTTTTTTTAATTACGTACTATTTGAAGTAGTTTAAAAAATTGACGATTTGAATAGTTTTTAGCAATTAAAATATACGAATCATAGAACTAACATTATGCGCACTCAGGCATGCTGACAAGTGCTACAACCCAGGGCTTCCATAATAACGTCAAAGTTATTGAACAAATATGCATTAATATTTTTATTACAAGATTATTTCAAAAATTGTTACCATACACAAAGCAAATGAATATGGTAATAAATTTATTTTGACAACTAATACATGTCGTGATATCTCGCTATTGAATTTATATTTTGTGATATTTATACTATTATTTATATTTATATTAATTATGCTTATATAACGTACATAGGTATATTGTTTCGTTTAAAAATAGAAACAATTCCTTAATAAAAATATCATTAGACATATATATAATCTCGACATTATTAAAAAGATTTGTGATTGTTGTCATATTTTTGCCTGAGCAGACGAAGCGTCAACTTTGTAATTTGCAAACTTTAATTGCTAATCATTTAAAAACTAGTACAGTCTCGACATTTTTTTTGTATAAGAATGTTTGTTTCAGAATATTCCAAAAATCCATTTTTAAAAGAAATATGCAGAAGTTTTAAGACCATATATAAACTAATACATAATAATTGATATTAAATTCAATCTGAATAATTGCTAAATAAATGTATAATTACTGATTGTAAAAACGAGTAACTTACTTTTGTCTAAAGCAAAATGATAAGAAAATTCTTTGTTACAAAATGTGTATGGAAACGTAAGACGTATATACAGAATGCTTTTCATAAATATTAGATCAATGTAATAAACGTCAATGTTTAAAATAATTATTTTCATTTATCATGCAATAAATAAAAACATCAAATCATTTGCTTTATAAACATCTAAAATTGGGCTTTTAATTCTGGAGATTAATTTTTCAATCTGTCTATTAAGTATTTTTTACTTATTCTGTACTCTCTCTCTCTCTCTCTCTCTCTCTCTCTCTCCTCTCTGTCTATCTTATAAGTCCTAATTTTCTTTTTCATATATTCTGTATAATTTTAATTTACTTAAATTAATTTTATTTAACACATACAGGTTTTCCAGAGGTTTGAATTTGAGTGACGAGCTTTCCACCTATTTGAAGTGTGTTGATATTATTGGCTTCTACTATTTCAAAAGTTGGATTCTCTTTCAACCATGTTCGCAAATTGGATCTCAGAGGAGCATCTGCACCTAAAATAATAAACCATGTATATCGTGTATGTGTGCGTGCTTGCACGCATGCATATGTGTGTATATGTACAATGTAATCCCTCTATTCTGTAAACAAATACTCTTTTCATTTTCAACTTTCCACTGAATCCCTATTATTATCTAATAATAAACGTGCAAAATAAAAATATACCTATAATCTCAATTTAGAGAGATAAAGCAAATGAAAAATGAAAGATGTGTTTGCTACTATAATTTCACGTGATTATACGACAAATAAATAATAGAACAGTACAACAGCATAAGAAATTAAATTTATGAAAAAAAAAACTTATTCAGAATAAAAGGTTTTTGACTTATATTTTTGTTTAATATGAACCAAATATAATCTATTTACCAGTAAGAACTTTACCACTTTTTCTGTCAAAGACTACTACTCTAGTTTCAGATTTTGCCTTAGTTTCTGTCGTAGATGATTTCGTAGACTTTATATTTGATCCAGATGGCATGGGTTTGTCCTTGGTTAAAGTTTCCTGAGCATGTGCGAGAATACATGCATCTGAACAATAAATACTGGAATTTCTGGCTTCCTTTTTGCAAACAACACATTGCATTGTGCTGGAAGCTAGAGCAGTACTGTGGTCGATGGAAGAACTCGACGAAGATATTTCTTTTGATAATATAGTTTGCGAAGATAAATTTTCATCTACTGATTCAACTTTTGCTTTTTGTTTTCCAGGTAGTGATTGCAAATTCAACTTAATTTTTTCTTCCTCGGCTTTCTTCCTTAGACAATTCGGACAAACCCACTCTATACCTTTCTCCTCCATTTGTTGACCTATCACATATATTTGTATAAAATATATATCGTATAACATACATAAATATTTCCTCTCGTCATCTAAACTTACGATTTCAGATACTTACCCATGGCTTTGCTGACATGTACACATTTTCCATGGAACCAGTCTTCGCAGACATCACAACATATCATAAATCGGTTATTATGTGGCCGTTTGCAGATACACCATAATCGATCTGGATCATCTTCTGAATCTGAATTGTCCTCGTCATCATCATCATCATCTTCCTCTTCTTCTTCATTCATTCCCGTTTTGAACTCATCCTTGTTATGTACTAATTGCGGAACTGGTACCTGACTGTATCGATGTTAAAACAATTATTAAATTCTAATAATTTAAACATTATTAAATTCTAATCAAGATTATATCAATGTAAACAAATGTATTTATGTAGATATTCGATATAATATAATCGCCATAAATGATTATATCTATCTTATCTTCTCTTTATCAATCTTTTATTCAAAAGTGAATCTATCAATGACCATTCATAAGTTTTATTTAATATGTGTGTTTGATACTATGATTTAACGTGATTATACGACAAATGAATAATAGAACAGTACAGCATAAGAAATTAAATTTATGAAAAAAACCTTCTAGCTTTCTTCTCTAATGAGTAGTGACTTCCAACAATTAAACTGGAATAAACAATGTATATATGTATGAGTTTATTGTTCCCGAAACAAATTACAATTCACGCTCAAGAATTTTTTACACACAATTCCATAATCAAGTTTTTATAAATCGAGATACATAGAGATGAGAGTCGAGTTTGAACTCTGGACATCTACAAAATCATCACCTTCACGAAATGTTACCCCAGCAAAATAATTAACATTTATATTTTTGAATTTATATTTCCATCAATATAAATGTAACACAATGGATTGGCATGAGAATACAAATTTGTCACTCACAATCAGTAAACTTTTCTATTTTAAGAAAATACATATTTAATACCTCTCCAAATTCAGATTTTTTAAATCTATTGTTAATAAAATAAAAATTAAACAGAAATTATTTTCTCTGACTTAATTATCAAATTGATCATGTAAAAGGTACGTTATATCAGATACTATGTATGAAGATCCACATTCTCATTCAATTAATAATATTTGGTTGAAAATATAATTGAAGTGATTGTATCAAGAAATAAAAGTTGTAATATCTTAGTAATATCGTCATTTCTAATAAATACTCAAATATTAAAAATAGTTTGAATATTATATCCCATGGAAGTTTATGTTTGCCAAACATCGTACTAGTCTGTGTAATTTAAAAACAAACCAATCTTACATAATTATAATAAGTGTTACCTATCCACGCGCACGCACGCACACGCGCACGCGCACACACGCACGCGCACGCACGCACGCACGCACGCACGCACGCACGCACGCACG